GCCATTGGGTTATAATGAGCCGCCTGGAAAACAATTTCCCGGCGGCTTTTTGGTACCAACAACTGGGTAATCACCTCACTAGTCTGAGTGTCACGGCTCACTCGGTACAACCTGTCCCTGCGCAATGAAAAGTGGGGATATGTTAGCGGTGTGTCAGGGTGCACCATGTGACCATCAATTCTCATCACTTGGTCAAAGGCACAGCGTAGAGTATCGTCACGAGACTGCTCGAGTGGAAAATCTTCCATGGAGTTAAACACGGGAACTAGCGGAGCCTCCGGTGGAGGCCCTGCCAGCTCCCCCTCCCCGTCTGCAGCGTCGGACGACCTCGCGTCACCACTGAGCACAGCGCACATATCCCATGTCCCTGTCGGCCGTGAGCGCACCCCTACACATTGCCCCACTAGCTTATCAAACCCTGGCCAATCAGTACCCAGAATCAGGGGGTGCGCCAGGCGGGGACTAACCGCCGCCTTTAGGTTATGCTTTTTTCCCCTGTACCTTATTTCCACTGGTACCACAGGGTACCTGTGAACATCCCCATGCACGCACATAATGTCCACACACCCCGCCTCCAACAATGCCCCGGGTCGAACCAGGTTCTGGTGAACCATGGACTGGGTACAGCCCGAATCCACCATCGCCCGATGTGTACCCCCCTGAATCCTTACCGGAACACTGTACGTCCCTCTTGGACCGGGGGAGGGTGCTGGAGGGCCGACCACCCGGATCACCTGGCCCACCTCCATCAGTGGGCACTCCCGGCGAAAGTGACCGGGCCGTCCACACCTCCAGCACGCCTGCCCTGCCGCCTGAGGAACCCCCTGTGGGTGGGGAGCAGCGCCCGTAGCGGCCGGGACCTGGACCTGGGGGGGAGTAGAGCAGCGAGAACGGGGGGCAGGAAAGGGACGAGCAGTCGTGGGGGGCCCCGGACTGGGTGCGGGTGCCGACCTCCGTCTGGGGGCCGGCGTTGGCGGCGCTGACGGCTCGCCACTCGGCGTCTGGCGTGGAGAAACCACCGCCAGGTGGTCTTCAGCCAGAGTGACGGCCGCCGCCAGATCCGCCGGGCGGTGGCACCGCACCCAGTCTGCTGTCGCAGCCGGGAGCCCCGCCACGAACTGCTCCAGGACCACTGCCTCCACCAACCGTTGTTCCCCCGCAGCCTCGCCGGGCTGCAGCCAGCGGGTCGCCGCGTCCCGCAGCTGCTGCGCGAAAGCGAAAGGGCGCCCGTCCGGTCCCAGCTGAGCCTCCCGGAACCGGCGCCGCTGGTCCTCCGGCGAGAATCCCAGCCGATCCAGCACGGCCTTCCTCACCTCCGGGTATCTTCCTCGGGAGAGGGCCGGCAGACCCAGCGCTGCCGTCTGGGCCTCTCCTGACAGGAGGGGAAGCAGGCGCACCGCCCACTCCACCTCCGGCCACCCGCACGCCGTCGCCGTAGCCTCGAATGTCCCGAGGAACGATTGCGGGTCGTCCCGCTCCGTCAATTTAGCCATTTGGATGCCGGCGATCGCCGGGCCCCTTGGTGGTGTCGCTGCCTTCTCCACCACAGCCTCCAGCAGCAGTGTCCGTCGCTCCGAATGGGCCAGCAGAGCCCCCATCTGCTGCCGGCTCACAGCCGCTTGTTCCCGGCTCATCGCAGCCATTTCTGCCATCATGCGTGCCAGCGCCAGTATGGGCTGCTGCGGATCCGTCATGCTGGCCTCTGCACTCCTGTCGAGGCCACGTCAGGCGCCAAATTGTGGCAGTCGTGCCACCGTGGGTGCCCCGACAGAGTCTCTGAGACCAGGATTTGTTGTTCAAACTGTTTATTGGAGCGTGTGTGCCACCCGCACACACACTCTCTCATACGCACACACACTCACGCACACGCCCGGCTAGGGCTCTCTGTTTCCAATGCGCCGTTTCGGTTCCGTTCCCGAGCTGGTGGCGGGTCCTGCTCCAGCTCTCTCCAAAACCAGTCCTTCCCAGGTCCAGCACACTACTCTTTTTACAGAGGGGAGAGTGATTAGTCAACCGGTTCCAGGTGTGCCTAATCATCTCCCCTGGCACTGCTCACCTGAGCCTTCTCCACCCCTCCCCCCTGCAGCTGAGCGCCACGCCCCCTCCACAACAATGTTCAATACATAGTTTCCTTGTACCATTGCCACATAACATAGGAATATTCAAATGTTTGAATTATACATTTAAAATTCAGAACTCTAAGTAGAATCTAACTAACTTTGGAGCTATTGTTGATTTTTTACTTTTTATTGAGTCATCGAGGGAGCACTGAGGTGGACATCACCTCCGTGCCATTTTGATGTACCAGCCCAAGTCACTCAAGCTTGAAGTGATAAGTGGACGAACAGGGTGAAAGGAAAAAAAAAAAAGACAGAGTGTCGCAGCTATTGACAGGTGTAGAACTGCAAAGAAGGTCAGTCATTTTTCACAAGTAGGACACACAAGATGGCCTTGTAAGTTTTTTACTGAAAGATAGGTCTCACGTCTGCTGTGACTGACCAAACCCCGTAATTACGGTCATTTTCTGTGTTCTATAGAAAGTAAAAAAACGCTCAGCAATTGCATTTAAGGTACATTTTCTTTTTCGTAGAAAAACAGGATGAATGTTTCATGGTCAGGCTGTTCTTAGATAGTTTATTGTGATATGTAGGGATGATTAAGTTTTCCAACATGATTATATTTATTTTTGTTTGCAGTGCAGTTCAGATGTGTCAAGACAGAGACTGTGAGAAAACCTTCATTATGGATCATAAGTCAATAAGGTCTGTGAGGGTGGCACAGTATTTAATATTCAAAGTTACTTCTCATTCAGACTCTTTAATTTCTCTTTAAGCATTCAGTGAATTAATCTTGGTTTGATTATTTCTGCTACTTTAATTATCTTGTATTCCCCCCAACACTGGGTCAGACTTACTAAACACGTGTGATAAAACAGTGTCATGTCTTCTGTGTTTTTTAACTTCAGCACCCAGCCTTGCAGTGCCTCTGGTTTTATTTGTTGGGGCAGTTTATTCAAAGGTAATAAAGTTGAATTCCCACTACCTGCCCACTGTTTGTGGCCTGGATTTGGGTCATCCTTTCTACTAAACTTAAATAAATAATGATGACCATTTTATCTTGTAATTTTCCTCAAAGGAAAACGTTATTGAGTTGGGACTTCTGGTCAACTCCAAAACTGCCAAAAGCTGCATGTATGCTACAGAATAATCCTGTACAGCACAGATGGAAGCTTAAAAACAGCATGCAACATGCTTTTTATCTTTAGATTGCCTGTTAGGGTAGCTGGAGTGGTATTGCTTCCAGACCCTAAACAAAGATAAAACAATATAAAGGTCCAACTACGTTAAATTCTCACTTAAGGTTATTGTAAATTCCCATTTGTCATCATTATGGAAGGACATCTTGGAGACTGTAGTGAAAAATGAAGGCTGTGCTAGGGAGAAATATGTGGAGCGGTAACCATTGCTTCATGTCCAGACTGAGTATTGGATTTAAGGAGTGGATAGGATCGTAACTTGATTTACTGCCTGTGTAACACCAGGTGGTGTGCAGTGTTTCGATCCATGTGACAAGACCAGAACAGAGCGCATTCAGGGTTGTGATCATTCCTTGGTTTGAGTCTTCAGGGAAAACAATCTGAAAGGGCACAGCGCCAAAATTACTCACCTCATGGCTGTCTGAAGTCTGCTCAGGCGGAAACACAAGAAGCTCCAACTATTAAAATCACAGTGAAAGCGATTTAGCTGATGCATCCTTTATTGTCTGACCAGGAAGTAGCCAACTTGATGCTGAAAACCTGGAATTATTTTCTCATTTTTTTGGTTTTAATTGCTTAGGATGCTTTCTTTCTGAGCTTTAGGACAAAAAGAAAATTAAACAAATCTCATTACCTCCTGTCCAGATTTGTGTTTTGCCTCCAAGTGGGTCAGGATTACTAAATTATAAACCGAAATGACACAGGGCATGGGGAAGCGACTGTTAAACTACATAAACATACAAAACAATTAACTTCAACTTTAATTTCAACAAAGGAGGAAAACATGACTAATCAAATTAGTCATTTATTTTATTTCACTTTGTTTTCAATGTACACTATTAAGTACAGTTGTCCTCCTTTGTTCAATCTCATTTCATGTTTAAAAAAACCCAGTGTATTAAATACAATTTTTTTTACAGATTTACCACTGTCACTGGGATATTACTGGATCAAAGCTTTTTTCCTGTCTCTCAAAAAAGCAGAGAAAAACGACCAACTTCTGAAGCTTAGTGCAATGTAGGGAAAATGCCTTCTTCATTCTAATTATTACTCATATTTAGCTATATCTTACTCTGATGGTCTATTTTTGACACAAGTTATATTACAGCTTACACCATATTGAAGAAATCAGATTATATGCTATTTTTTGTTGCTTTAAGATGCATTATTTATTAAAACTGTGGTTAGAATGACATATTTGCTTTACAGGATGGAGAAGGACTACAAAAAGACTAAGCAACTTTTCCAGCACAGTCTACATTCCCTTACTTCATTTGAACCTTGCGCTGACTTTCATGACTTCCTTTGACCATTTCGTTAATTTCGACACGTTAAGAGTTATTCATCTGACTAGACAAATTAGTTTTCATACACTTTCATTATCTTTAGGACGATTTTTAGATCTAAAGCGTGATTGATGATATCCGTTGAATTATAGATTTTTTTCTTTTGCAAAGTGGACTTTTATGGCTGAAAGAAATGGATAACTGTTATTGAGGTGTTCATAATAAAGAAACACCTCTCACTGACACTGAAAGGTTAAAAAAAAGTGCCTTCCAGAGAGATGGTACTCTTGAAATAGCAATTAGGTATTGAGATGCAACCACTGTATAATCCATGTTTTCTTGCAGAAAGACGGGGTTAACTCATCCATCCATCCATTCTTGTCACAGCTTATTCCTTAATGGGGTCACAGGGGGGAACTGGAGCCTATCCCAGTGGTCAATGGGAGAGAGGAGGGGTCCACCCTGGACGGTCCACCAGTCCATAGCAGGGCCTGGGTTGACAATTCATCGGAAAAATTTAGATTTTTTCCTTTCAGTTACTCACCCTAAAACGTGTTGGTTTCTAGAGCACACAGTGATGCATTGTTTATAATCGGGAATAATGTTCCATTCAATATAATTCATAATTATCGTCAGATGTCTCTAAGATGAACCAATAATACTTAAGTCACATTCCAAAGTTAACTCCAGTTTAGTGCAATGTGAACCCTTCTCAAAAATCAAGGACTGATATCACACCTCACTGAAGAGCGTTCAAAAATCCTCTATTAATGCAAAAGTTGACAATAAATGGTATGTGTTTTATGTGTTTTGTAGTCTTAAAAACAGAATAAACAAGTTAATTTGAACCTATTTTCTTTTTATTCAAATTTCATAAAATGTTTCCTAGTAACTTGCTTAAATTGGGTTATAACTTTCTTTTTTTGTTTATTGATATAAATAAAACTGAATTGAATTGAACAGTGCAATTATGTTAAAATGGGTTTAAGTACATTTTTGACCATGAAGCAGCACTGTAATTGTTTGATAACATTATTAAACAAAAACAGTGGTTGTTGCATTTTTGTTTAATTACTGTATATGCGTTTGTTTCTTATTTCAGTCCAGCCCAACTCTTCAAGTTGTGACCGAAGTCAAGGAAACACTGGAGCAGAATAAATTAACCCAGTGAAGAGAAACAATAAATGGAACCAGTCCATTTCCAGTCTCTTCATTATCCCAAATGAAAGGCAAAGCAGTGAATATGTTGGACAAAACCTCCTTAGTTAAAATCTGCATGCAATTCTCTCAGTACATACAACAGATCAAATATGGAAGAAAGCAGCACAAATGTAAGCAATTGAGTGCACAATCACAATTAACAATATTTTTCAGGCTGATGTGAAGTGGTAAAAATGTTTAACAAGACTCCCATGATTGATTTCCTCCAGACAGAAATTCATCTAACAATGACTAAGAATAAAAAATCAAATGATTGTGCTTTTATAACCAAAGTAGAACAAATAATACAAAGACAGGTGTACATCACTTAGAAAACATTAACACTGTTATATAAAATTTGAAGCACTTCTGTGGCAGTAAACAATTTACGATGGCTGGTAATGACTGTAGATCAGTTATAGTAAAATAACAAGACAACAGACAAACATATACCATGAGAACCGCGTCAAGCAGTCATCATGAACAATATTTTTTTAAAACACTCACAACCGCCATCAAATGTGCATTCATTATACTTTACTAAGCAACCAGCAACTCGGTATCTTAGAAGCTGGTCACCAAAAAAAAAAAAAAAAAAAAAAAACTAACAATAAACAAGTCCACAGACTTAAATATGAGATCACTTTTTCTTATTTTCTGTTTTTTTTTAACATCTAATGAGAAATCCCTAGTAGAAAACGCTATTGTGCATTGTGCAGAATGTCTTGAGTTCATCTCCTTTGAAGCAGCTGTAGGATATTCCCCTTGTGCTCATGTTTTGCTTCTTAGCTTTCCGGAAACTGTAAATTAAATAAAAGATTATAAAAAAGTCATTTTAAATATATGTCACAAACACATTCAGATATATTCACACCCAAGAAAACACAAGAATACAGACTGAGCTGTGAATCCTGGTTTTATTTACCTTCTCCACTGGTCCAGTAGGGGCCCCCTGGTCTCCGGGTTTGACCCGTGTGTCCCCACACGCCTTAAAGCTGGATGAATTTGAACCTGGCTCCCTCTGAACTTGGCCTGATGGGAACGCCGGGCGACTATACAAAAGAATGTCCCCAAATTCTGTCGGAGAGAGAGATAAAGTCTAAAATGGCCTAATGTTTGATCGCTGATTGGAATGTTCTCGGACAGACTCGGTGCTCCATCGGTTACCTGATTGCTGTCGGTTTCTGTTGCTTCCTTTTCCTCCGTTTGGAGTCTTGCTTACGTCCTGGCAGTCTTTCTTTTCAAATGCGTTTTCTCTGACCCTGTGGGTTCCGGTGCTGCCTCGTCGACCTCGGGCCTCCCCGGAGCCCATGCGTGGTAGCGTGGCCCCTCTGGCCTTGTAGTCAGCACGAGCCATCTGGTTGGTGAGATTCAGAGGCATGCAGGAGTCTGGGGACAAAGAAGGGGATTCAAATATTAGAGCTATGAAGAGAAAACCAATCTTCTTTCATGGGTCTGTCTTTACCATCGTTGAAGACATCTTTGGGTTGATAGCCCTGCTGACCAGAATGGTTCTGTTTATGCCTTCGGGGCCTTTTGTGCGTTATTGCAGGACTCATGTTGCTGTCTGTTGACATGGGGCTGCTGGCTCTCTGATGCTGTCGACCTGAACACATCACATAGATTCAACTCAAAAACTTGAACCACTTGATACAATTCTTGTTAACTACCGACCAAATAAACAACGTAATTGGTATAAATCGGAAAGACATATTTCCAAATAATCTTCTTCTACGAGAACACTGTTTCAAAAAAGGATGGAACAAACCAAAAGACACAGAAAGGATTCTGTGCCCAAAAGTGTTGACAACTCAACAACCATTTCATCAAGCTGTAACAGAGGTTTTCAGTCTGTTTGCGCTACCAGCCACTGTCATTTAACTGGAGTAAAAAAATATATATATTTCATGTTTAGCTTTTTTGACAACCCACTTTAGCAGAACAATATAGTATAACAATCCCTACTTTTGTATTCCTGTTGAAAAGAATTAAACAAAGTAACCATTAAATAAAGATCCCATCTCACCCGACTCCTCCTGGTATCTGCACATGCGCAGGCCTACGATATCCCGCGAGGAGGCGGCCGCCTGGTTGAAATCCCCATCTGTGAAGAAGGATCCCTCCGAGGTGCTGACAACGCTGGACCTGCCTGACGAGATGTTGTCCTCCGACGCCGAGCCCCAGCTGTTGACCATAGACCCCGTGACTGACCGGTCCAGGTCCCCGGTGCTGGAGGTCGGGGTCTGCTGCAGTCCATTGAGTTGCGGCTTGTGTGGAGCCATGTGGTGCGACTGGTGTTTGTGTTTCTGGGGCCGGCTGTAGAGACTTTCAACCAGCTCCGCTTCCGTTTCCTCCTCGACCTCTTCTTCGTTCTCTTCCTGTCCGTCGGGGATGGAACTGTACGTGTGCGTGAGGTGCTCGTCCGCATCGTGTAGGCCATTGCTCAGGTCTCCGTGCGACGGCGTGGTCAGCGGGTTACCACGACGCACATCGGTGGGAGATGAGGCTGCTCCTCTGACTGGAGGAGTGGGGCAACAGTCTGTTCTCTCCTCCGGATCAAAGCTGATAAGAGAAGGACTGACATAAGGTAATGTGTAAAAGGAATGAGAAGTGCTAACAGCCCTGACGCGTTAGTCACAGCCCATTAGACTTAAACGCAAACTTCCCAGCTTCCCATCAAAACACTCCAGCGTGGGGAAACAGAAAAAATTTAAACGACGACTTTCCAAGCAGTGGGGAAGCTAAAGTTTTTTTAATGCAGTTCAGTAAATACAATTAAACATCCCTTCTGTGGGTAACTATGTGATAATAATGAATGGAAGTCATTGGTTAGAGTAACAGTTTAGATGTGACAGTAAGATCTTGCATTAACAGACTGTTAACTATATTCACAGAATATCTTTATTGAAGAAGTATGTGTCTCGTAATTTCATCAATGGAAAAACTTTGCCTGTTAAGCGTCACAAAACCTATCAACTATAGCCGGCATATTCAGCAGGGACCGTTGTTTTTATAAAACTGTGTCAGTCAAGAGAAACTAATGAACTTGGCAAGGACAGACATACTCAATATATTTGGCACTGTTCATACATTTGGTTTGAGCTCCTTTGGCACACTTCCCTGTTTTCGTACCTCCTTTCCATGGGCAGACTGTAGCCATCGCAGTCCCATGCATTAGCATGAGGATGAGAAAGAACCTCTCCCCAGCTAACCGCATTGTGCTTGGGAATCTTAGGGGCGCGCGTTAGTTTCTTTTGATTTTGACTCCCTGAGAGATAAAAACAACAAACACGGTCATCACGGACTTATCATTTATGGTTTAGCACTACGACAGTTGATGTGATCACCTGAAGTGCTGTTGCTGCCTCTGTCTGAACTGTGGTGTGAGCCTCCTGTGCTGTGGTCGCGGTTCTGGTTGTATTGGACAGCTTTCAGGTGCACCATTCCCTCACTTCCATGGACATCTACAAATAAAGCAGCATGCGAATTTCCCATTTGATTCTTAGTACATGTAAAGTATACCATTTGAATTCCATTTTACTACAGTACCTTTACTGTTCTGTTCAATCATGTTATATTGCATCTGTGCTGCCATCTCCTTGGGTATTGGAGGTAGGCTGGGGGGCTGTTTCCAGCACGGTATATCCAGAGGTTCCACGACAGAACTACCCATGGTGTCCTTGCTTTTAATACTTGCTTGAATAAGCTGTGTGGTGGCATATGGAATGGGCTCATATGTAGCCGTCGGATCTCCTCCTGGACTCGCGTAGTACAAGTTGGAATTGTTGAATGTTTTAATATCGGCGAGCTTATTGGAGAGATCCACATCGCTGTATATGGCAGTCTCAGAAGCAAGCTGTCCCCCTGGTTTGCTTTCTGGATGGTTTCCATAATTGGCTATGCAGTCAGCTGAGTAGAAGGAAACGAAGCAGCGAACAAAGAAAGCAATAAGACAGGAAGCCATAAGTGTTTAGCCTTAAAACATAACACTATATGAAAATATTCTATTTTTCATTATCACAAGCTGCATCCAAGAGGGTTCTACATGAGCTGTGAGGTCATTTTTGTTGTGTACTCACCTGGTCGACTGTATGTTGTCATATTGCTGTCACTGGTGCCACTGCCATTATTACAGCAATTGATGCTGCAGTCCTTATGATTGGCACATGCATTAGGCCAATTGTCTGGCAACCACAGTTGGTTTAGGGGTTCACCCATGCTGAGAGGGCCAGGTCTGCAACAAGGAGGACCACAGAGCTGTCAATCAAAACCTGCACCCTGTCATACACCAGGAATCATGAGAAAAAATGCTGTGAATGCATGGAGCACGTCAGTGGGGAGACATCTCCCCCTAGTGTTTTAACAACGTAACTGGGTTTCTCTTGCTCTTTTATATAACACAAAGAAAAATAGCAGTCACCTGGCAGCACCACACACAGATTCCCCTCTTTGATATGCGACTGCAAACAGAAGGCAAACAGAAAAAGATTCCTTGGTGAGATGACAAAGTGCCAAACAAGGAAACAGCCTTGACAGGCAGGTGAGATGTCTGAGGACAAAAGACTCAACGTCTTACAATTCATGCTTCCATCCATATAATATATGCGAGGTCTGTCTCATTTCAGTTATAGACTACTTTCCCCATCTTTACATAAATTTACCCCAGATTTAAACGAACATTTTAAGATTGTTTATTGTCATTTACTAAACAAAGATATTAACGTGAATTCCATGTTTTACTTATCAGAGAATATGCAGTTATTGGATTTGGCATAACGCAACATGTCTGATATCAGAATCAGAATCAGAAATACTTTAATAATCTCAGAGGGAAATGAATATGTTATATGCTACTAATAAATTAATATGCTTTAACAGTGCAGAGTTAATAGAGAGAACACATCCAGTTCAGTTACACATCATTGTCTTTTTGTTTGACTTGATTGACTTTATATCATTGTGATTTGTTTTAGAGAGTTAAATATCCATACATTGTAACCTAAACTAAATCAAGGGACTGAGGGGTGCATACCATTTGTAATCATCTAAAATTCTAAAACTTGTCATAAAAAAACATAGTATTTCATTACTAAAAATGTATTTGCTTCTCACAGAAATTAAGACAGACATCATTAAATGAACCTGTATGGACATACCTGTGGGTGTGAAGGTAAATGATGGAACTGTAGGCAAAAGAGGAGAAAGGGTTTAAAAAGAGTTATACTGATATTCCTCCACAAGATACCACCATCAAAATTAGTTTTAGAATATTTAGAAACACACCATTTATTGCCTATATTAAAAAACACGGCTAGTTGGTGATGGGCATCTATTCATTAAATCTATTTAAAGTATGAAACATTCAAATAAACCCACGTCATGTGTCACCTGTTACTGTTTCCTCCATTTTTTATTTGAGTGCCCAAGTGAAAGATAATGAGGGTTACAGGAGACCTGACAGACAGACGGCTGAAAAAACAGGGCCAATGCTGTGGCTAACAGACACGGTCATGGCAGGTTGACAGGTCTGTGCCTCCTAATGCTGACAAAATGACACTCTACAAATAAGTGATTAAAGGTCAGTCACTGAACGTCTGCTAAGCGCCAAATGCAAATTTCGTCTTTGAAGTCTTTTTGTCAAAGACGATTAGTCGAGACTTTTTCCATCCCTAGATGTGATCTGTTTATTGAAAACAATCTTTAATATCACAGGAATGTTGACTGTTGCTCTGTGGTGGCAACATATGATCACATCTATGAATCAAACTATGCTTTAAATACCACCAAAAATGAAAAAAAGCATGACCTACTGCTATTTATATATTTTTTTTCCTTATGTTCACATATTCTGGGTTCAAACAACATCCTTGCATCGACAAGTCTGACATTGTGACACAGTTACACACCCTTCCGGATGCCCGTGTATGTGCTGCTGAGACCACTCCTCTTCTTGCGATGACGATAGAGCCACACACTGAAAATCATGAGAACCAGCCAGCAGGTGGCACCAATGCCAACAATAAACGCAGGCTGCTTCACCACGTCTGAGATATGTGATAATGTGTCTCTTTTAGCACTGATGTCCATCATCTGCCCCAAGGAGTCTGATCAGGAGAAGCAAAAAAAGATCATTCATACAACATATTTAGAAATAAACAAAAAAATATAGCAAAAAAGTGCAGACTTGAACAGAGAACTATGCAGAAATATCGATAAAGGAGCAAAGACACAAGGCTGTATTTGAAAGGCTGAGAGTAGGAGGCTCTGAAACCTTACAGATAGCTTACTATGCAATGTGTCCATTTAGTTACCTAATTGGAAGAAAGTAACATCACTCTTGAGTCCAGGTCCAGCGCCATTACATGCCGCGACCTCCACACTGTATCGAATTCCAGGGGCCAGAGTGGAAATGAGCAGGGAGAAAGTGGAACCATCCACAGACTGATTCACGTGGTAGCGGCTCTCGTTACCCAGGCACCAGATCTGTCAAAAGACGGTGTTTTGCCTGAAGGTCACACGCAGCATCACAGTTTCACAAAAGGCATCGTATAAATTCAAGCTTTGTTTTTGTACCTTGTATTCCTGGATGACTCCAACCTCTTCTGTCTCTGGGGGCGGTTTCCAGGAAACTAGGATAGCGGTCCCATTGGCGTCGCTTTTTGAAACCGTAACACCCTGCGGTGCTCCTCTAGGGGCTAAGACAGTGAAGCATAACATTAACCATGTAAACACTGAAAAGAAATAATCCAACAAGGCTGCTGTGCACTAAAAAGAATCAATATTTTTGCCTCTGTGTGACCACTGAAATGTATAAAAATCGAAACGTATCTAACGATACTGCAGAGCAAAACTTTACCTTCGTCTAACGTCTTGACCACCTTCACCTCACTGTCGGCTCCCTGGAACTCATCAAAGAAGGGCCGCACCTTGAACTCGTAGATGGAGCCTTTCTTCAGATGACTGATCACTACTCCGTCTTCCTGGGGGGCACGGACCTCCAGGACGTTCCACTGTGCCTCGGGGTGGCCGTGCTCCGCAGATACCCTGTAAAGCACCTTGTATCCTTGGATGTACTGGGACTGCTGCTCGACCTGAGGGGGATGCAGCAACAAAACACGCATGAGTGATCACACGATATTCGTGATCATGGGCAATTTAATGTCAGAGTTTAAGCTAGATCGGTGCGTGATCTCATTCACACGGAGCATTTAAAGCCCCTATTTTGTGTGAGAGAGAAGAGAGAACACCGTGTGAGAGGGGCCAGTTAAAACTTATTAAAGAAGCTGATTTTTCCTGTTAAGTTTTTCCCACATTTACATGAGGGTGAGTTCTCACAGTAAACCGCAAGATGAGACCATTAATAATTTCCATTCAGCATGTTTGGATAGGAGAAAAAAAGCAAGACTTTCCATTTTAGGTCGCTTTTCAGGGTGCCTGAAATAGCTTTAAGAGGAATCATGACATAAAAAGGAGAGCGCATATACTGATATGAATTTAAAACTAAGTACAGTGTTTTATACAAACAAATGAAGTTACGGTGCTGTAGATCTATTCTCTGTCATCTTGTTGGCAGAAAATATATCCACTACAGAGAGAAAACCTTCCAGTGATGTCACTTCTACACACACACAAACCAGTGATACTTTGGCTGAACTAATTAGTTTATGCTGTTTAATTAATTCATAAAATCTCTGAAAGCATGAATTTACTCTTTAATAATCTGTTTTGTCAGCAGTTCTAGTTTTCTTAACCATTGCTTTTTTTGGACCTTTTGCATACTTATATTGGACTTTAACAACCATGGGTGTGTGTGTGTGTGTGTGTGGTACAACACTAGGCATAGGCCTGACAATCAACGAGCAACGGTTCCCTTACCGTCCACTGCACTCTGACAGCAGAAGATGAAAGGACGGTCAGCATGTGCAGGTGGATCACGACGTCTCCCAGTTCTCTCTGGATGTGACGGTGGTCCACCCCCTGCATGGTGGAGGTGCTGTCTGTGTGTTCCAAAAGGTTGGAGAAAAAGCCAATCAGCAGCGAGAATGTATTCCAACTCAAATCAACATACAGGTTTTTCCTGCTGTGTCTGTTAGTCATTGAGGGAATGAGAACAATTTAAAAAAAAAAGATCCAGGGAGGACCTCCACTGACCCTGTGTTCTGACAGAGTCAGAGATTGGACTGGGATCACTGAGGCCATACGGATTCACCGCTCTGATCATAAACAAGTAGACAGCTCCAGGCTTCAGGTTTCTCAGGACAAAGGTCTCTGTCTTCACATGCTCGGCGACGGTCATCCATCTGCTGCCCACAGTGTAACTACAAACAGAGGTGAGGTGAGCAACAACTTCGCTTGAGATACGCGGCGACGAATTTGAACGATGAATTCTGCATCACGTGTATGGACAGGTGTCTAACCTGAATGCCTCAATAAGGTAAGACGTGGGCAATGCCCCGGTGTTGTGGTTGGGTTTCCACGACAGCGTGACAGACGTCGGGCTGACGTTACTGACTTCAGGTTTAGACGGAGCCTCGGGAATCAAACTGGTGTCTGTTGGAGGGCCTGACTGGACGACGATTTCAATTTCTGCCACGGACACAAAAACGAGTTGACGAAAACAAAGACACTTTGAACAAAAACATTTTTTAACAAATCCTCTCTATAATAACCCACCTTGTACTTGCAAGTGTGCCGTCCAGGAGGCTTCTCCAGTTGGACCGGAAGCAACACAAGTATAGAGGCCTGAATCTCCAAGCTGAGGAAAGAGGATTGAGGAGCATACCCCATTAGGATGGCTTGATCCACTATCCTGTTCTTTCTAGTTGTCTTTCTAGGTATTACCTCACCCCTTACCTTGGCATGGTGAATTTTTAATGATCCCGTTTCTGTTATGGACAGCCGTGAGTCCACTTGAGACAGCATCACACCGTCCTTCGTCCAGTGGATTGTTGGAAGTGGAGTTCCAGCAGTTTGGCAACCCAATATCACAGTGCTGTCCACATGAACAGTCTGATTGATCGGGCCCTGCCTAATGACAGGAGGGGGTATGTCTGGCCCAACTAGTAGAACACAAAGGAAGGAGAGGTGGAAAATAGTTGGAATTTTTGTAAATATCAACATCAAGAATAGGGTTCATCATCCCTGCATGTCTGTCTTTACTTTCACTGGTGAAGTCCATGAAAAAAATACAATAAAAGAAAACAATCATAAATTGTAACTGTCAAAAGCCCATTAGGGCATCGGAAACTGGAAGATAACGTTAAAAAAAAAGGTCAATGTTATAAACAGAGAAAGAAATAAAAGTAAGAAAGTCGAGAAAATGAAAATGAAGTGGCGAAAAGGGCAGAAAAAAAGATAAGATATGAAAGATATTGGGAGGAAAATTGGTAAAGCAGGAGAACAATAGGTTTAGTGGCTGTGCAGGCAGTGGAGGAAAAAGAAATCAACTTTTCCCCTCCAGCGGAGGGCAACTAATCATTCATTGGGTAGAAGGTAGAGCCGGAGCCGGATCCAATCATGACAGCAAAGCCCAACTAATAACAGTTCCACTTAGATAACAGAGCTTTCACTCTTACACACAAACCCTGTGGATGGGTGCGAAGGGGTTTGGGCTGATAAATAAGTTAAAAGAAATACTCCCCAAAAAAAGGTTGTTGGAAACATGCCTTGAAAAGTGCCAGAGGTAATGTGTGCATGTTATTACCATACAAATGCACTCTTCCGAATGGGGTGAGAGGAATGTGGGAGATGGAGAGAATTTTGGGGGAGGGAAGAGTGTAGATTAAGTACAGGACAGGAACAACTCCATCCAGACACCCCCAATAAATGAAAGAACCTCACTACATCATACCCCCATCACCTACTCAGCCTCCCACTAGTCACTGCTATAGTGTTGACTAAATGCCTCTCACGCATGCAAAAGACTGACAGACCCACTTGTAGATGATTATGTTATGTCAAAACCTAAGGCAATTGTCTCCTTTAACATAATGTATGTATACGGCACACATTTACAAAGACATGAGTATTCATGATCACATAGGTGTGCAATTACTGGTGCGGGCCTACGAGCACTGTTAAATTGCTTTTCCGAAGCAATTAACATGGTTATTTTATCGTGTAGGATTTAGATTAGGATACCCTCAGAGAAACCGTGAAGAGTTTAAAAAAATGACATCATATGTCAATCTCCTAGGCTTTATTCATAAGTGCATGCAGCAAAATATAACAGACTTTATTTTGCATTTCTGTAAACAAACTGAAAACATGAGATATTGGGAACTGAAGGCACATCCGCTTTCTGTGCTATTTGTGTTTGTCATGAACTTTAACATTTACTATAACTGAGACCTGTAGTATTGAGATATAAAGCTCCTTTTAAATAATTGTCTTTCAGGATAAATAAAGAATGTTTTATTCCATTCATTAATTTGCTTTTTTTTTGCTTTTTTTAACTTTTATCTTTCATCTGAGCAGTGATATGAGGGTTAATTCCCTGGAACGTCAGCTACTGGGAAGATTTGCAGCTGTGTTGAATGTTTTGCACTAGTGAATGATCTTTCTCACCATAGAAAGATGGTGTCCAAAACCTTTTGCTTTACAGACAGACCTGCAGATAGTCACAAACTGTAGTGCATTTAGCGGCACTTAATTCCTATTAAAGCAGTAAAGGCTTACGTACTATAGCACACACTGTGTCTGCATTTTGGCTTGGATTGTGCTGGTTAGCACCATTGTCTCACAGCAAAAGGGTTATCTGGTTAAAATCCCTGCTCGGGACTTTTCTGTGTGTGTTCTCTATGTGTAAGTATGGGTTGCCTCCGAGTGCTCTGACTTCCTCCCACTGTCAAAAAACACAGTTGTTATGTTAATTTGAGACTCCAAATTGACCTTCAGAGTGTGTGTGTGTGCGTGTGTGTGTGTTTTTGTGCATGTGTGGTCATCGCTGTGTGGCCCTGTAACGGACTGACAACCTGTACAAGACATTCCCTGCTCTTGTGCAATTAAAGCTGGTATAGCTTCAGCCTCCCCCCCCCTGTGACCCTACCTGCAATAAGCAGGTATAGTTACAAATAAAGATGAGTTCCTTCCTTCATCACATAAAAAACTCCACTGTGTAAACATTTATTTCAAATTATGAGTTATTACTGTATGTGTTTTTTGTGAGTACAATCTATTTGAACAGGCTGGATTTACAACACTAAAAAAAAATCAACAACAACAACGACATAATAGAATCCAACATGAAAAAAAGAATCTGCTGAAATTTCTCCCCAAACAATGCTCAAAGCCAACAGTAACAACCACTGGGACAGTTGTGACTATATACCTGCAAAAACAAATGATGTCTTCAGTGGCCTGAAGAAGTGGTTTGTTCAAAAGAATGAAGCCAGAAAAGCTCCCAATTGACCTCCACCGCTGGTCCCCTTTCACTCACCGTCTGTAACCTCCAGTAGCGCTTTGGTGATAACGCTACCAGCTATGTTGAGGGCCTGGCAGCTGTAATAGCCAGCGTCTGAGCGATGGCTATCCGTAATGGTCAAACTCCCCATCTGGGATACAGACAGACGGCTGAAGGGCTGCGGTGGCTGGTAAGAGAACAAAAGACTCTGGAGAGAAGAAGAAAAAAAAAATCAGCGAGAAATCCTCTTTTTTTATCTTTATTAACACTGTAAAGCCATTTAGTGAAATGACAGATCGGGGGTCAGTCTCACCTCACTGCCCTCCCTCTGCCAGAAAATAGCGGGCTGTGGGTTGCCAGTGGCCTCACACTGGAAGGTGACCGTCCTGCCCACTGACACCACCTGGTTCCTGGGGCGTATGGCAAACGCAGGGGGCACTGCAAAGGAAGAGAAGCTCTAATTAACTGGCAGCCACATGCATGTTCATCTTTTAACAGCTTTAGGGAAATCTCAGTGTGCCCAGATAGCAAAATAATCATTCATCTTAAGTGGTTCTGCAGCAAAAAAAAGTCATAGTTTACCTTTGTAAATGGATTAAAAAGGCTAAAATGACATTCATTACCCACACATAACATGGATTACATACTGTAGTGGTGGATGGAATTACAGTGCAGATAGGACAGTGACAGAGGCGCATGATTTCCTGTTGTTGTCTGATGGTGGATGAAGGATGGATGACAACTTACCAGTATTGACTATAAGAGAAAGAACACAAAAAAACAATGTAATGAGTGAACGAGTTGAGTAAGGAATATGCAAAACCAAGGATGAACTAAACAGTACTGAAACATGCTTGGATGGGTGGGCACTATGAAAATGGTTTGAAAGGCAGGAGCCTAGTTCTCCAGGGCATGGTGGTATAATGACTCCCATCTACATCCAGACCCAAATAAGTTGCAATTTTCAATTGTTTTCTATTTATCTGAGGTCAGTGTACCCATTTCGTCATTATTTAACCATATATTAGGGTTGTTGTGGTTCTTTTACATCTCAGAATTTTGCAAGAATTTTGCAAATAAACATTGATATTGTTTAAATTGTTCGTCCATGACAACAGCTACGTGGTTGTAAGGTCTTTAGGCAGAGGATTTGTGGTTCAAATCCAGAGGCAGATGCCTTTGCAAGAGTTTGTATGTTCTTCCACAGTGTATTTGTCACTATGTATTGTCTAATGTAAAACGTTAGAAATAGGTTGGAATTATTCTGTTTAACTCATAATAGATCAAAAATAATCATGCAAACAGAATGTTTGCCATCAGTAAAGATCATGGACCTACATTGTGTTTACAGATAAGAAAGTAAACATCATAAAAACCTTACATTTAGATTTTAAATAAACAGTACAACTAGGTTTCAAGCTTATGAGACAGGACGGTGTTCCTATGTGTCATTTTGACAGACTAGCGCAGACTCACTTGTGTAAGGTTTCAGGTTTTAAATCTTTACTCAATATTTCAAGTCAGCAAGTAAGACAAGGCAAGGCAGGTTTATTTGCATAGCACATTTTGTGTACAAGACAATTCAAAGTGCTTTAACAAGGTATTAAGGTATCAAAGCATTCTTTTATTTGAAACACACATAATTAAATTCCATGTTTCCAATAACATAGTCTGTGCTCCTTTTATACACCCACACACGTACACACACACTCAACAAAATCAGCTGTGATTCCTCCTTAAAGCCTTTCTGAAAGCTTTCCTTCTCTGTCTTTTTAAGCAGAAAATGAAGACGAAGTACTTGGAACCATGTCACTTCCCAGCAAGCAAACTGGTCTGGCCTTACCTTTAATTAAGTCCCACTGTCCTCACAGTATATATCTCCCACTGAGTCACAAAAATGTGTTTAATTGTATAGGACCGAGTGAGCAATTACGAAAAGTCTCACTGCTTATTTCCCATCACTAATCTGAGACCTAAGGGTGTCATTGTGGCAGGACGGCTCAGACCAAACAAATCAAATTTCTGTAGCCAGGCTGTTATTTACTTTCCACGATCTTTCAAGTTTACAAAGAATATGGACTTAAAATTCTGTACAAACAAACTCCTGCAATGTTTTATACTACTTGCTGTTTAGAACTGGTGACTTCTGAAAACATTGTACGACTTCCAGCCGAGAAGTGTGGGATAGAAAAAACTCAAGCAATAATTCTTCTTTTTCTACACTGTCAGTGCAGTACAATGCTGGAAACTAGGTCTGGATTGAAAATCACTCCTAGCTAATTTGTGACTCAAAGAGGAAGAACACCATTTGTGTCCATATTCGATTGTCGATTTGAAAGGTGTAATAGTTCAGATAAAAGAGAATATACTGTGTGCACTGCAGTATAAGCAAAACCTGTTTTGAACTGACCATGTATGGTGAGAGAGGCCGATGCTTCCGACTTCCCAACCATGTTCTCCACCACACATGTATAGGAGCCCTCATCAGAAGGGGTAACTTGACGTACGATCAAAGTGTGGTCCTCTAGGATTTCAAACCTGCGGGCAGGACAAACACTCACGGATGACACAAAAAAGACGCCACACTAGGCGTTCCGTTGTAATTTACTGGAGAGTGCCACTGTGACTTACCGGCCCTTGGGGAGGTCAGAATCATCTTTCCTCCAGCGGACTGTGGGAACGGGGTCTCCTTGAACCACGCAGTGGAACTCCACGCTCTCGTCTGCCAACACCACCACGCTGCTGGGACGCTTCACAAAGGTCGGCCGCTCTACAGGGCAGTGCGGCAGTCAGAAAACAAAAATATCAGTATAATCATTAGTCTTAGCATGGTGACAGTGGGGCCAACAGCACAGACAAACTGTTTGAAACCGTATCCAAAATCAGTCGTATTCGGATGTAAACTTGAAAAAGTAAACAAACTGACACAATGCAAAAGAAAGAGAACTAAAAAAGAACCATTTTAATTCAGTGTTTAAAAGCAGCATTGAGATGATAGATGGACTGGATCAACATATGATAGGTTGCTTATTTCAAGCACGACATAGCAAACTAAACTACATCAGTCGATGATATGATAAAAAAAATACCTATTTGCTGCAGAAACATAAGGGTATATGTAAGGTGATGACCAGTAGAGAAAAATGCTACTCTGATTTTGGCAAGAACATTCAGTTGGGGTTGTTTTGCGTACTCTGAAATTGAAAAACTCACCAAAAACATACTTTCCTGACCAAGGAGAGATCAAACTTTATCATTCTGAGACATGTTGCCTACTCATTTATAGTGCAACAGGATAATGAGTCCAAACACTAATAAGATTTGTGTAAGATTTATGGGAAACTCGTGTAAACCACAAGTCAAATAATCAGAGAATGTCTCAATAAGATGAATTATAAGGTCACTAATTTTGTAGATCTTATGGAGCAGCGTATGTTGAGCCATCTCTGTGTTCAAAGAGATTTCTCTTATAGTCATGAAAGACCAGGGCACCACTTTTGCAAACCAAACCAAGGTCATCTAACCATTTGCTAGCGATAAGAGCACTATTGTGATGGAGACTGCTACTAGAATAAGTAGTGGATGGAATTGTGAGCGGATGGTTGAAAGAGGCATTTGAGCTGGGGGTGTTAGAAGGGCAGCTCCGCGGGGAACGCTTACACTGAAAGGTTAGAACATTGCATGCAGCAGACACAGACATTCAGCACTCCAAAGATGCCAGACTGGATGACAGTGCTGCATAATCAACATAATTGATAGGTTTGTATACCCTGATGACAAGAATTTTCAGTGGCACACTAAATCGTATGGACTGTGGAAGAGATTTGACAAAATGTAGCTCTCGAATGTAGAATGCAATAAAAAAAATTAAAAAGTTGTGAATATTACCAAGGACTGTGAGCTCGGCAATCTCACTCTCCCTCTCCCCGACCATGTTAGTGGCAACGCAAATGTATTTCCCTGCATCGCTCTTCCAAGTGTTAGTGATCATCAGCTTGCCGCTTCGGATCTAAAAAGAAGGCACAAAAGAAATTGAACTGTTTGCATAGATGTGTTTGCACATATTACCATTCCGGCGTGTACTTTGTTTATGAATCACTTATAGAACAGAAAGCAGTCATGAATTCATACATATGTAATAACTTTACAGGCTGATATTTTCTTTGATTTGTGACGGCACCTGCATATACATACATGTACATCAAATATTTGACAATATTCCCTTTGAAAATATACATTCTTATGCAATCAAATTGCCTAAAATCAACACACTAATCAAATAATTTGTGTTGCCTTTTGATCTGCATTGAAGGTCACCCATTATAAAATTACATAATTCATATCAGGTGCTGCAAAAGACCCCATTGAACAAAGACACAGCCTCTTTGTAGAGATGTTCAGTCAGCTTTCTCAGCCTTTCCCAACCGTTTTGCCATCTCTATGGAAGCATATCTTAAATCTTACAGACAGGCACACCCACACACACACAACAGAGGTCTAACACATATGCACTCCATGCTGTTTTCAGTATTTTATATCCACCAAACACACTGCCACAGATGATGTCAGATGTCTTTATAGCGCTTTGAAAGGAAGCTTCTGTGCTGACAGTTAGCGGCTACCCCTGTGTTAGAGGAGATACAAAGCAGCAGAGCCTCGATGCTGTACTGCAGATGGGGAGCGCGTTGATCTGAAGACCTCAGGACAAACACACGGTCGCTCTTTGCGTCCAGCATCTAAAGCCCTCTTCGAGGATTCGGCCTCAATTAAACCTTCGGCCCGAATATTGTACGTTAAGACGGCTGCTTTTCCCGACCCACACTCAGCTATAGACTAAAAGTAATTCGTGTGTACCGGCTAGATGCACAGGATGCACAACAACTCATGCCATTTCTTAGGGAGAGTCAGGGGTCAAGGCTGCCTGCAGTGCTGTGTCCATAAAGCAGGGGAAGGTGATCCGGTGTCATGCTAGACAGCACCCGGCTTAGCGCTGGTGGGCATCCTCCACTCACAAGCTTTCAGACAGAGAACACCATTAAATTGCTGCTGCGGGGATGAAACCAGCAGTCCGCCGTTTATTAGTCAGTCTCCCCTCCGGCCAACCCTCCACCACGAACATCTCGTGCCGTCAACCAAATAAATTGGAAAACCAAGAGTGACCTGACTGACATCCCAAATCTGTTGTAAATTACGTTCATTAAAAAATTGTTGAGGACGTTATTGTGTAATCACAAAGAGAGGGTGGGGATGGATCTAGAGTCAAGCCCTGAATTCAGGCATTCCTGTCCATAGTGGCATCACATGAGGACCAAAGAAAATGCTCAAGCTTTGAAAACATTGCTGTCAAGCATGTGTACATAGAACCTGTTTGGATTCAGTTAAAGCAGATGTGATTAAGCGGATGATATGAGATAATATACGATCTGGGTTGGCAGATGGATGGATGGATGGAAATGCTGTTGATTCCTATTGTTTTCCTTGACCCATTTCTTATTTAACAGAGTGAGCATGCCTGAGTTACTGAGGTAATGTCACTGGAACCTAATAACGGTTCCATGACAGCCTAAAAAAAACAATTGCAGGGACAATGTCATCTAATTTTTCTAATAAAATATCTCAGTGCACTAAATCCTCAGTGAGCCATAATTACTGACTTCTGTCATAATGTGATGCAAATTCATCCTTTGGAGAACAACTAAGAAAAACTGCTGAACTTGCTAGTTCTCTAATTCTTTTATTAAAATCGCTACAATATGATTCACTAATCACTAACAATAAACACTGGCTCATGTCAAAGGAAGTAGCCATGACTTTTTAGATAGCCATGTAAAATTGATTGTAAACTTTTTGGTTTTCTTACAGTAATAAATGTTTGTGATAAAGTACACACAGAAACTTTACTATATATACTTCCATGCAAAGAGGGTGATTATGAAGGACAGAGGCCAACACGTAGAGAGTACAAAGCCAAGAGTAATCTTTGTATTTGCCTCAAAGAAACCTTCCTCCAGTCTCTGATCTGTCCCGCTCCCTAAATCAGACAGAGCTGCAGTGTCCATCATCGTCTCCCACAGAGACTCTACCTGTCACTCCACACTAGCATCCGCTTTGATTCCTTTCGTCCCCAGGAACATGCACATTCAGATAAACAAATCAAACACAGGCACTATGAATTATTAACAAATGATTAGAAATTCTGTATAACTAAAATACTGATGTAGTAGTCCATCAAAATTCAATCTAGTTGATAAAAAAATGACTGCTTTTTTTTAGGATTTGATACTTAACGTGTGGAGATGTGTGTAATGTGTGAAAGTAGCATGTTTTTACTGTGATGCGTTCATCTCTGTCATCCAAATTAGCGCCATCCCTCCTCCAGGAGATGGTTGGTTCTGGATGTCCACGTGGGGGTTGGCACTCCAACACTGCTGGCTCTCCCACAGCAACCATAACATCAACAGGGTTCTGTCTGAAATCATCACGTAAAACTGCAAAATAGAAAGAGAAACGGACATATCATCAATGTAAGATAATCGTTTTGTTGTGGCTTCGGTTTCCTTGAGTGGAAAAATTATTTTTAAAAAATAACACATCAATATATATGTGATTTATTGAATTTCACATGTAAGATGTGAGTGTATATTAACTAATAATGTGCGACGCTTCCCTTAAATATCTGTATGTTAACAAAGATCTATGCTTGTAGCATGACAAATAAGATATGGAAGAACTTTACCCAGCAGCAGAACTAGACCGGTCTAACTTAACTTATTCTCTTGATTTAAAAGTGATCATATAATATCATATAATTGTAAAGTTCAGCTTTTTATTAGCCTTGCACAAACATTAACCCGGAACACAATGTGTAATGCATTTTTAATGTATAAATGTATATTTATATATACATATGTATGTTTGAATTGTTCCAATTAATCAGGATCCCTCAGATTTATGAGGGAAGACATCCCTAACTCAAAGAAAGTCTACTAGCGCTCAGAGCATTCATCATAGAAAAAGAAAGAAATGGGATTCGGTGGCAGGAGGCGGAAATTGACCATCCAAATTTGCCTTTAACCATTAACGTAAAAAATAGACAAAAATCTATTGCTTTGCAAATGTTTTAACAAACGGCTCCAAAAACAGTAGCCTACATGGTGGAATTTACTGTGCAGGTTAAACACCAAACATCTCATTTTATATGTTAGAACAATTACAAATCATACACCAGTAAAGGAAATGGAACAGAAGGCTCCACAAGAAATGTGTGGTTCTCTTTTCTGAGATTTCTGCTCCTGATGGGGTGAGCAACATGTGCCAATGTAGACGCCTGAGCATGAGTGACTGCTGTTAAGCATTCCCCGTCTTAAATTACAACGGGGGGGGGCTTACGATCCGAACAAGCCAGAGGAGCCGTGCCAAGACGGAGCGAGCAGAACGGCAGAAGTCAGAAGAAACGGGGCTGGAGTGAAAAGACAGGAAACAATGAGGAAAAAGGCATAATCACTCCCAGATGGTAGCAACCCATTCACCTCTGGCTACGAAAACTTGCACAAAGCACCGCGCGAGGAGGCCGGCGACGGCTGATGAGCGTCGCGGATGAGAGAGAACAAATTGGGATGACCCTCTAATTGGAAGTATTTTGGCCCGTGCGGGTCTTTGAGCTGTGTTGTCCTTCTGATCCTGCGAGCACAGTTTGCGACTGGCCGACTACAGTTGAATGAACACTGATGGGAAACAGCTGTCTGAAAAAATCCCACCCCAACTACCCCCAACCCCACTACATATATACGCACACACACACACACACATAACACCAACCCCTGCCAACACCATCATGTCACATGATAAAAAGGCTGTCCTCATGGGACACTGCAACATGGTCTGAGGTTACCTCAGACAGGAAGAAACCGAGACCGTCACAATCCCTGTGTACAGTGTGTACGTGCGCACGTTGATTGATTGACTGATACCATCTTATAATTCCAAACGCAATCAGGTTACACATCTGCTTTTACTATTGTTTGGAGGCCAAACTGTTTCCATAGAATTCGAAAGCCCGGATTATTAGCCTCAAAGCCCTTTTTGTTGAAGATTTGTTTTGTTGATAGTGTTGAAATTAGTGCAGGGAGGGGGAAAAAAAGAAAGAATGGGTAGGTTTAAAAGGAGAGGGAAATGTGAATTTAAGCATAAGATATCCTTACAAGTGTGAGAGTGAACTGAGAAAAGTTGTCTGATGCTGCCATGCTATGCTAATGTCCTGGGTAAGCATAAAAATAATGTAGATCTGTTTTTACAACTGAGTTTATATTCTCAAGGGGGAAATATTTTCTACTTATTAAATTATCCCCACAACTCATGCATAACCAAGTAAAAAACCATACAAGAAAACAAAGAAAAGCAAACATCTCCTTAGTCACAAAACCTAAACTATGCTGAGACCTCAGCAACTATGCACCACAACTTTGCAATCATTTTGCTGAAAGCAAATGCATATTTTCTTTTCACTTGCGAACGTATTCTGACAAGAATCTAATTCCTCAGAATGACGTCACTGAAAACCACTGTCTCTCTTTCAACCACTTAGCTCAGGAACGTTTGTAAAGCAAACTCTGTACTTACAGAGAGAGGAGAACGCTGATTTAGTGAGTCAGTCCTACAAATCAACCTGAGATACCGTGTCATCTATTCTCAGTTTCCCAGTAAATCTTGTACTTTGAGGTTGTTTTCCGGTATTCTCTTACATCTGCATTTTAAGCCTTTGCACATGACATTGCTCATGTTGCTGTCAAATCTCACTTATCTATTTCACAACTTTCCCACATGTGAATTTTTCTCATGTTCTTGTAGCCAAACCCATAACCAAGGTTATGGGTTGAGTCGAACACAATGTCACAGCTTCTGAAGCCAACCCAGCTTGCCTGTTTAGCGGGAGCTTTGCACCTCTTGCTGTCTTCTTTTTTCTCCCTCCATCTGATCCCTCCAGATGAGAATCTCACAGCTCACTTCAAAGCATCAGCCCCTCAGCCTCTCTAGTCTGGATCTGACAGTGTCTGACTTGTTGTTAGTGCGATGGAGTCTGAGCCACAGCTTGAAAGGCCGAGCCAAGCTCCAATAATCCTCTGCAGAGTCCAACTAGAACAAAAAGGAACACAATCGTACCCCACAAATAGGAATAGGGTGGGGCACATGAGGATTTCATACTACACTATATCATTGAAAAAGGCTACCTTTTGCCATGGCGGTCTGATATTATCCTGCTTTCTAGCAGTTTTTTGCATTAGAAACTGTTACAATTGATTCAAATATACAAATTCAGGCATTGATTATTTTGGTGTTCCATTATATTAAGCAAACTACTGAATTCTGTGTTTAGCACACAGGTTATTAAGTGAGTGAGACAAAGTTTAAAACAGATCCAGTGAAGGTCACATTTTGATAATGTAACGTCTTCAGCAATAACCACCACTGAGTCAGGCAAAAAAAGCCACATAAGAATGAGTAAGAGTTTGGTAAATGGTATTAAAGCCTGCGGTCATCAAATGAGAGGCTGCTGGTACAATTCCTAACTTGCATTTTCCACAAATGCAAGCTATAAGTTCCCCCTTTTGTTGCTCAATTTCTCACAGTTTAATACTTGTCACAGCTCCTCTAATATAACATGACGTCAAGCAAAACAATTGCCATCAATAAATTGTTATATTGTTGCATTTCTTAACTTTTTGCTTGGGAAAATAAGAGCTATGGGACTTCCGCATGCATATTCCCAGTTCACGATATCAAGTGAGAGTGAAGTGGACTGTTTCAATACATCTTTTGCTTTTATAAACCACTGAGAAAAAGACCCATTATACTATCTCAGTAAAATTTTCTCATGACTTATGTTTAAATTAGCTGAATTATTCTATGAATTAATAAATACATACATGTATAAATAAATAGTATTCAAAGAGATACATTTTCTGTTCAAACCAGCTGTCCCATCCTAAAAAAACACCAAAAAAAAAACATGGTATGTCAATATAAGTCTTTGTCCACCTAAATGCAAGGTATATACACTTGAACGGTGATTAAAGCATTTTTAACATGAATTAAAAGCAGCAACATCTGAACTCTGATTCAAAACACCTACTCATAGTATTGCTATTCAATTAAAGGTGAATTATTAAATTATTTATTTTTAAATGTATCAGAGTATGTCTACAGCATGCATTCTGGAAGAAGCAGACTTCTGGACAAAAACATCCAATAAAGCGAACTTGGAAAAAGCTAACCTTAAATAATACAGCTTCTGTCTATCCCAACAGATATGAAATCCTTGACTTTTCTCACAATCTATCCTCTGACCTCTCCCTACCCCCTAACTCTCAATGTCTATGCACAACATCCCTCCTCCTCTTCCTCCAACAGAACTGCAGTCTGGAGAGACAGAAAGCTGCAGGAGAAACAGCTGCTCCACAAGAAAAAAAACACATTTGCAACTCACATGTAATGGTTGGTCAGATACAGGAAACAAAGATATGGATACAAACAAAAGCAAAGAACCAGGAGGTCCAGTGGGCCCTGGGCCTCTTTGCAAGCACCTATCACAAAACGTGTAATACGAACTGCAACCAAGCAAATCCGAATGGAAAAAGAAAAGTTTTCCAAGCATAAATTAAAAACTATGCATAAGCCGAGACGCATAAGTACACCATGGGAGGTTTGCAAAATACACAACATTCTGAAGACAGTACACTCTGCGTGTAAAGAAAACTTAAATTCTTTGCTTGTACTCCCCAAGCTCCCCGATTTGAATTTCATTTTCCTCAAATAAATCATTATTCAAACAAGTCCCAGGGCAAACAGACTTTTCTGCATGCAAGGCTTTAAATCCATCTTATGCTTGGCGAGGCCAATTAACGCAACACAGAGGCTCACTTACTGGGTTAAAACTCCCAGTTGTAATATTTCTTGGGTCTTTTAACTCTTGACTTTTCGCCTCTCGTTTTTATGGAACCGACTCCACTTGAGTAAAACTATAGGATGGCTACATCTTCATAGACAGATATCCTTGTGCAGGATGTGTCATTGTTTACCTGTGTCATATGAATTTATGGAAATCTTATGCACCGTTATCATTAACAGACCACATTTTCTTTACTTAAACAAACATGAGAATGACAGAAGAATTACTCCACATCTACAAAACGTACTGTTGCTCGACAAAAGGTTTTCGGTGTACCCTGATATCCTAAGTCTGAGTGCATGGATGATTGTTGTGGTTCAGCAGTTTTTGGTAAGTTGTGTCAATTTAATCCTGTTGATGTACAGTACGTGCAGAACATATCACTCGTGAGAAGCGGACACTAAAGCCAGTTAAAAGGATTGTGTAACCTGGTTTTTAATCTCTTCGTCTCATCCTCACCGCCTGTAAGAGGGAAAGTATCGCAGAGAATAAGGAGACGGCACATTTGAAAAGACAGACGGCCATGAACCAGATTAGAAGAAT